GAACTAAAAATGTCAACTTGTCCACGAGAGGTACGCAGAAGGTGCTCATTTTCCTCATTTTATCTCCACACTTAACTTATCCCTTTAGTTTATTTCTCTTATCATGAGCTCAGGGTTTTACCTTCTATCGGTGACATAAAGTGATGCCAGGAGTCATTCCTCTGAAAGAAACATGCTTCTTCTTTAAGACACAGCAGTATAATGGGTTCCAGCTCTGGCCAAAAGGTGTTCTACTGAAATATGTATACATTAATATACATTCCTGGCATAGTCCTGGTGGCTGTTAAAACACCATGAGGTGAGGCTGGTGTTTCTCTTCAGGTCTTTGGCCTCTTGCTCCTGCTCTCTCCGACTCCATTAGGGTGACAGTGAGCAGACAGGGTGAGGAGGTGAGATACCGCAGACACGGGGTGGAGAGGTGGAGAAGTGAACCGAGAATTCCTCTCAAAACTTGACCTTCTTTTTTCTGACTCACTCCGATGACAAGTAATCAGAGTCACAGCGTGTTTCACTGCCGTGTCGTCATTAGATAAAAGAACAGGCTACATGTTAAAAGACTCTCACGGCGTCTTTCAGCCCTGTAAGATTCATAAAGACAGACCCCTGAGGCTGCTCTCAGAGTTGAATGCAGCCATAATTCTTATCAGCTACATTCTCTGTTGCGTTCAAAAGACACAAGAGAGATACTGGTTGAAAATCTATAAAGCAACTGATCCAAGAACTTGTCATGTCATCAGTGTCACCAATTTACATGCAACATCCATGAGATTCACCATCACAAACACCTGATGATTTTTTTAAATTTTATTTAACCTTTATTTCACCATCCCATTGAGATTAAAAATCTCTTTTGCAAGAGAATCCTGGCAGCAGCACACAGAGAACATTCACAACAAAAACAGAAAAAGTTAACTCCGTCATAAATAAATAAATTAAAAGACTCCTCAGTTAAAACATTTACAGATGATTCCTTCTCCAAATCAGTAAGAACAGCCTCATAAACATTTAGTGACAACAACTCCTTTCGTGTATTTTTGCAACTGGTTCCAAGAAGATAGAGCAGAAAACTGAACAGATTTCTTTCAAAGTTCAATTCAGATTTTAGGCACCGAGAGTAAAAATAAGTTCTCACAACGAAGAGAGTATCCTCCGGTGGACTTTCTCTTTATATAAAAATATGCCAATGGCGGAGTCTACGAGTGACCAGTGCCGTCCATCCAACCCGGTTGTATAATGTGCAGTGTTGTGTGAAACCTTTTAAACCTGTTATAAACCTTAAAACTCCATGATAAACAGTATCCTGCGAATAAATGCATTTAAGAGAAGCATACATGTATAAAATATCACCATAGTCCAGTACAAACACAACAGTAGCATCAACCAGTCGCTTTCTAGCCTCAAAAGATAGACAGGATCTGATCTTGAAATAAAATCCCACTTTTAATCTTAATTTCTTCACCAGCTGTTGAATGTGGGAAGTAAAAGACAAAGAAGCATCTGTTAAAAATCCTAAATATTTAAACTGTTATACTTTTTCAATGTTCAGACCTTCAGCTGTAGTAATGACTGGAAGATCCTTACTTTCAAATCTTCCATGGGAAAACAGCATCACCTTCGATTTATCAGCATTTAAAGAAAGCTTAAGGTGGTAAAGATTTGTCTGTAAAACATTAAAAGCTGACAGTAATTGATTTAAAGCACTGTTAGGAGAGAGACCAGAACAATATAAAACTGTATCATCAGCATAAAAATGAAATGTTGCATGAGGCACAATTACATGAAGACTTTTTATATTTATAATTAACATAAGCAGCCCCAGCACTGACCCCTGAGGAACACCATAGAGTATATGGAGAGAAGAGGAAGCTAAACCCCCTACTTGAACACAGTGTGAAGCCTTTGTAATAAAACCTCATGATTAACTGTATCAAATGCTTTGGAGAAATCGATAAAGCATTTTGATGGTAATCCACATTTTAGGTTGTTGTTATGAGCTGATGACGGTGACCAGCAGCAGTAAATGTGTTCTTGGTGTCTGTGATTTAAATCTCCATCAGCTGAGGAGCTATAGGAAAATTCCTCCTGGTGCTCTCCTCCCACAGTTGTGAGTAATGGATGTGGATTCTGTGGACCATCAACCTGCAGGAAGAGGACAAGGTTCCTCTGATTTACGGGTTTGGGCAGAACGTTGCTGTTGGAGGAGTGCATTGTTTTTGAGCAGCCAGGCTTTTTACGGAGCTGATGAGCCAAAGCCCTGCTGTGCCTCACTTCTTGCTGCAGACTGAGTAACCCTCATGCAGTGGGCAAATTTCTCTGATGAGCTTGACTTTTACAAGTTCATTCAGAGAGGTGCAAATTTGGGGACGTTCTTTTTAAGTAGGATTTTGTGGAAGTGTTTTAAACAACTAATATCTTACCTGTTGTAGATAACTCTTTGCGCGTTTGAGGAAATGACAAGTTATGATCTAAGTGGATTGCTGCCATCTTAAAATAACTCCAATGTCAAAATGTCACATTGATTAATGCAAACATTATTCCTTTTATCTTTACACCTTTGTCTATTTTAAATGTGCACAACTGTTTCAGCTAGAAGCTCCTAGAAAGGCCCTAAGTTGATCCAGAAATGCTACAGCTAGCTGTTGCTGCAGCTACTTTTTTTAATTCGTTCAATCTTTATTTATACAGATTAGTTTCATTGAGTCATGATGACTCATTTACAAGAGACCTGTTTTAACCAAAGAACACAGATGAGGTACACACAACAATAAACAGCTGTAAAATGCATATAAAATGAAAAGTAAATAAAAGAAGTGATATCAAACAAAATAAAAACAAGATACATTATGAAACAGGGTAAAATACTACAAACAGGAACGTGTGTGCATTGATTTTTGCATTGAACTTAACAATTGTTTAAAATCACTTCGAGAGATCAAAGTTGACAACGTCATCTTTTTGCAAGGTGTTCAAGGAGCAGAGTAAGAAAAGGCCTTTTTGCCAAGTTCAGTCCACACTGATGGGACACTGCAGGTAATGATGTCTTGAGAGTGCATGCTGTAGCTGCACTGACGAAGTGACATATAGGAGGCGATATATGAAGGCAACAGGCTGAGTGATTTAAAGATGAAAATGTACCAGTGTGAGTCTGTGTGAAGTTAATGACGACCAATTGACCGATAAATACAGAGTGCAGTGATGGGTACAGTAGTTACAGCCAGTTATGAATCTTAGTGTGACATGATAGACAGTGTCCAGCATCTGCAGGGTGCTTGCAGGAGTACTCATATAAATAATGTCACCGTAGTCAATGGCCGGAAAGAAAATAGCAGCTACAAGGTGTTTCCTAGCATGCAGGGTTAAACAACATCTATTTCTGAAAAAGAAACCCAATTTTAAGTCAAATTTCTTTATCAAGTGTTCGACATGAGGCTTAAAAGAGAGATGTGCATCGACCAAGATTACCAAGTATTTATAAGAATCGACAAACTCATTAGGAACACCATAGCTCAGATAGAAGGAAGGACTGCTGGGACCGACTTCCTGGTTGAACACAACATCCCTTTGATTTTATCAGTGTTTAGCACCAGTTTGAGATGGAACAAGTCTGACTGAATGATGTCGAATGCAGACTGTAAAGGCTGGAAAACCTTGGCAACTGTTTTAGCTTGACAGTAAACAACTGTATCATCGGCATAGAAATGTAGGGATGCACCAGGAATTATCTGACCTACATTATTTATGTAGATTGTAAAGAGAGTGCGTCCTAAAACTGAGCCTTGTGGTACACCATTGTTGAAAGTTAAATAATTGGAGAAAGTACCATTGTGTTGAACAGATTGCCCCTGAACTGAGACTTTCACAGCAAATGACCTCAAAATGAATTGGAATTAAGCAATAAGTGTAAATAAACAGTTTTAGTAAGTGTAAAAAAATGTTAAAAACAATGTCAAGCTTTATAAAATAATACTGGAAAAAAAATCTGATTGCAAGGTTTGAAGTTAGAATTGTTTAAATATACATTGGTCCTGGCTGTGCTCAGATAAACTGTTAGCTCATCAATGCGGTCAGATTTAACTCTGCTTTTTTGAAAAGAAGTAATTCAAACATATATCTACAACAGGTAAGATATTAACTGTTCATAATCACACTGTAGAACCCCACTTCAAAAGTTCTCAACTCTCACTCAATTGTGTAGTTTATGAGCAGTTACCAGCAACAGCTGAGGCCAAAACTATCAACAAAACTAAAATGTGTGCTGAGTCAGCAGTGAAATTGTTTTTATTCAACACCTCCAACATGTTAGAGGAGTGGTGGTGCAGAGGTTAGAAGATGGGCCTGTGATCAGAAAGTCGCAGGTTCAACTCCCGGTACTGTCAACATCAAAATGTGGGTGGAAAAGGTGGAACACCCACACCTCCCTCCATCCTCATTCGTTCCACTCTGGGCCCAAGAGCATGGCCCTTAACCCCCACCATCTGCTCCCTAAACAGGGCTCTCTTGAAAATGAGTTCTCGTGGCTCAATGAGACTACCTGGATAAATAAAAGCTAAATGAAAAAATAAAAATTTTGCTCTACTCTTTGCACATTACTGTGTTCCTCCTTTACTCGTGTGTCTTTTGGAGTCCTTTTTTATTTGATTATGGAGTGCTCAGCTTTACATTTGCCACCTTTCTCTCTGCCTCCTGGTCCAACACTTTGTTCCTCCTGTAATCTCCCTGAGCCAGGTCCACTGGTGGGACCTGACCAGTGCTTGTGAGCGACTAGGTCTGTGTGTGGCAGCCTGGTACAGCCCTTTCTCATGACTGGGGGAAATAATCCTCCTTAAACCAACTTCGCACACATAAACACAAGCTCTTTAGCACATGGGAATGCACACAATGACATCCATACACGCACATTTGTCACACGGACCTGCAGCTCTCAGGTCTGCAGAACGAAGTCTTGCAGCAGCAATCGTGGAAAACATGTGAAAAACAGACGGGGACTGTTCCTTCTTCATCTTTTGTTTCAGGAGTTGTCATCTCAAGAACGTCATCATGCTTTGGCTACGTCCAGGTACTTTATCTGCTCTGCTTGTGTAGATTAGATCATTTTAGCCTGTACTTGATGACATTTATTTATTTTTACTGCTTATCAAAGAGATTTGTAACATTCATATAGTGTTATTCTCACTTTTAACCAAGCAAACAATTTCACCCCCCCTGGGTTTCATTGAACTTAGATGTTCTTCTTCTTGTCTTTGTGTTGGTGTCATTAACTGTCCACTGTAGAAACAACCAACGTGTCCCCACTGAGCTGCGTCAGCTGAGACGTGTTTGTGGACGTTACGTTATTATACTTATCTTACCTGGGCTGGGTTGGATGAAACACAAATGAAGAAGTCAATTCGAATTGTGATTATCTGAAAATGTAATGGAGAAGAGAATAAACTAGATACAAAATACATGTTTTGAGATATTTGTCAGAAGATTTCCCCTCCAAAATAGTTATGACTCAGAATGTTTGGTGTTGATGTAAATGTTTCTCTGAGTTCATTACAGAGTGATAATCGTTTGGACCTCGTTCACTCTTGGTTCACTAAAGGTGGTAATTAAAAACACGTGCACACCATTCCTTAAAGGAATGCATATCGTCCACTGCCTTTCATGACAGAACCACAATGCTGTTGTTAATTGGATTAGCTTCAGAAGTTAATTAGTTTTCATCATACTCTAAATTATTCCCTTAAAGCTTCTGTAAAATCCATTCAGTGGTTCATAAGATATTTTGCTGACAGGCAGAGTTGACTCCAAGTAGTCAATGGCAGGACAAAAACTCTTTCACAATTTGTTAGTGCTCAAAGTACGAGTTAGGGATCAGCCTCAGCTACTGCCTTGCCAAGTTTTGGGTCAATGTCAGGACTATTGACTGAGTTGTATCCATCCACCCATCCATCCATCCATCCATCCATCCATCCATCCACCCACCCACCCATCCATCCATCCATCCATCCATCCATCCATCCATCCATCCATCCATCCATCCATCCATCCATCCATCCATCCATCCATCCATCCATCCATCATCTTCCGCTTGTTCCGATGTCAGGTCGTGGAGGCAGCAGCTTGAGCAGAGAGGTCCAGCCATCTCTCTCTCCACAGCCACCTCTTCCAGCTCTTCTAGGAGAACACCAAGGGGTCCCCAGGTCAATAGAGAGACGTACTGTAGTCTCTCCAGTGTGTCCTGGGTCTTCCCCAAGGTCTCCTCCCTGTTGGACATGCCTGAAGCACCTCCCTAGGGAAGCGCCCAGGGAGCATCCTTACCAGATGAACCACCTCAACTGGCTCCTCTCGACGTGGAGGAGCAGCGGTTCAACTCCGAGTCTCGCCTGGATAACTGAACTTCTCACCCGGTTTCTGGGGGATAGTCCAGCTACCCTGCAGAGGAAACTCATTTCAACCGCCTGCATCACGATCTCATTCTTTCGTTCAGTGACAGATTACTGCATCCTAAATGCACAAAGGAGCGTTACCGCAGGTCCTTCCTCCCAGCAGCTGTTAGACTCTACAACCATCACTGCTCCCAACAAACTCAATAAGGATTAAATACATGCTGACCTCTGCTAAAACACACACTCTGCCTGTAATACTGTACTGTCAATAGTCTGTCCTTATCAGTGTTCCAACACATATTGAACATTATTATTGATATTGATTATCTTACTTCTTTATGTAGTTTTTAACATTTAGGAAGTTTTGTGTGAATCTTTTTATCTGTTGCTGCTGTTACACTTGAATTTCCCATCCATGGGACAATAGAGGCTGTTTCTATTCTATTCTATTCTATTCTATTCTATTCTATTCTATTCTATTCTATTCTATTCTATTCTATTCTATTCTATTCTATTTCAGTCACCACCCAAAGTTCATGACCATAGGTGAGGGTAGGAACATAAATCGACTGGTAAACAGAGAGCTTTGTCTTACAGTTCAGCTCCCTCTTCACCACAACGGACCGGTATGAGTCTGCAATACTGCAGACAGTACTGCACCAATCCATCTGTCAGTCTCACGCTTCATTCTTCCCTCACTTGTGAACAAAACCCTGAGATACTTGAACTCCTCCACTTGAGGCAGAACCTCACCCTCGACCTGAAGAGAGCAATCCACCCTTTTCCGGTTGAGTCGTAGCCATTTTGTCTTTTTTTTTTAAGGTCAGTTGGTTGTGGCAGCCATTTTAAATTAGGCTGGCTCCTAAAACCAATCTGTTATAGATGTACATCCAATCATTACTTTCTACAAGAATTAATTAAAAATATTAATTTGTTCACAAGACATTTTGACACCTGTAAATATTCCAGCAAAAAACATTATTTTCCAACTTCATCTTCAGTGACTAAAACTAGCTTATGGACTCTAAAAGAATAAATCAAACATCTATCAAGGATTTTTGAAACATGAGAACATGATGTCCTCAAACCCTCAGTTTGGAAATAAATGGAAAAACTATTGAGGGTTTGTTTCTTCGAGGACACAAAGAAACTGAGTGATAGTACAGTACACTGAAAGTATATTTATAGTAGAGACTCTGATCCATACATCACATCGGATGTGAGTATCTGCTTCAACAGAAAACAAAGAACCGGAGCCACAGACACAACATTATTAACTAAGGTAAAGCTGTGTGTTTTCCTGAATGATATCAGTCAAATCATGTTTAATAAGACCTCACACAGCACGTCCTCTGTGCCACAACTGAGCCATTGAAACGGTGGCATAACACGCGCACTCTCGTGTGCACGCAGACGCACACGCTCCACTCGGGACCCTCTAATCTCTCCAAAGGCAACTGTGTATCGAAGTCGAACTGACAATCATTTCACTGTTCCTCTGTGAGCACAGCTGGACAGAGAAAAACATGGAGGAACAGGGAAATCTACACATTCAGTTCACAGTTAGAATGATTCAGTGAGTTGGAGTTTACAGCTGCTTGATTTACGGCTCTCCTTATCTTCACCTGAATAGAAATAACAGAAATACAACTTTTTTGTGTGTTTTTCTATTGCTCATCCTCATCAGATAACTGAAAATGTAAACAGTGTGGCCTCATTAAGCACTGAGAGTTCAGGTTAGAGTTCAGTCTTTATGAAAGGGTTCTAGACTCACGTCTGAACCACATCCAGTTTGAATTTATTTATGTATTTTTTATTTGTCAGGCACAGTTTGGTTGAGCTCACCACTGCCTGTTGTAGTGAGCTGGAAATTATGTTACAATATCTAATATGGACTTTTTAAAGTAGTCTTTGTTTTCACAATCATTAAAGTTTATATGGACTGTCAACTACATGCAATGTGATGGAAAAGACAACATTCAGCAAAAGCAACAAATATTATTATCATTAAATTTTAGTGTTTAATTCAGCTGTGCTCCAAAGAAGTTCTCAAAGGAGCAGCCAGATGGAGGTCACTGGAAATATCATGGTAGCACAGCAAAAACAATAAAATAACAGAATTTTAGGAGGTTTTTAACTTTACTGTTGTCTTTATATATATATATATATATATATATATATATATATATATATATATAT